GGTTGTTGCGACCGAAATGTTCACGAAGCGCGCGAAACGTGTTTTTTATTTTTGCACCATTTTTGTAGTGCTCTTGAATAACTTCAATGCGGTCTTCAATCGAATACGACTCCATAGCGATCAATGGTAAACATTCAACTAACAAAATGACATGTCGGTGACATAAAACAAAGATGGCGTCTATGTCAAATTGACGTTTACTTTTCTGAGTCCCTATTGGACAACCCTGGTGAAGATTATGAATATCCTTTTACTTATGTCACTGCTTTGGAGGATATGCTTATACTCAAAAAGCAAAAGCGTTTGCTTCAGATTATTATAAATACCATCTGGAGGATTTCCTTCAAAATTTGCAAGTACAAGGATATCCTTTGTTTTATGAATACGGCTCGCGACTGAACGAAAACAGTGCGTTTAGTAATAGAACAAACGAGCACTGCAATACGTTAGCTAGCGCGCGCCTAATATGCAAGTTTTGACATGTTACAACACAACTCGGTACGGGTTGTCCTGATTCTAGGTAAATAAAACATTATTTGCGATTGTTTTGACATTGTTCAAGCAAAACTAGAGGGTATGCGTTTGAAAAAAAGAACTTTAATTTTTCGCGTTCATGTTAAAAATGAGACCAAACAGTTTATGGGTGATAGAGCTTTCTCATCTTGAACATTGTTGTTTTTTTTCAACTATTTCGAGACCAATAGCGATACGGCACTATCTGCATTGCGCAAGTTATATCGAAGATGCCGTGACCCATTGTGTTACATATTTTTTGTAATTGAGCCATACGGAGATAAGCTGTAGATAGACTGTTGCAAAACGGCTGGTGTGCCGCCATCATATAAACAAAATATACGCATCTCCGTTGGTAAATGGCGACAAAACATAATTGAGTTATTCGGTGATAATTTATGATTTGCAAAAATTCCAGGATGACCATATATACTAAGTGACATACAAATCCGAACACCGAGTTCAAATGGTTTTATTTTAATAAAATTTTGTATAAGTACTTAATGAAGAATAATAAGTAAATGATAAAAATTTCAAAATGATTGCACTGCTTTAAAGCCCTTTGACCTTTAATAATGTGTGGATGCACCTTGATGTGCTACGCATTCTCCAACGCGCCTAGGCATGATTCTGATCAGGTGGTCAATGTCCTCCTGTGGTATCTCATTCCGGGCAACCACCAACTCCTCTCGAAGTACCCATCATATCCCACACGTGCTCAATTGGGGATAAGTCGGGAGATCTTGGTGGCCATGGTAACAATGTGACATCATTATGATGAAAGAAGTCTATTGTGACTCTTGCAACATGTGGTCGGGCATTATCTTGTTGGAAAGTTGGATCTGCAAGGGTGTCAAGATAGGGTAAAAGATGGGGTTCTAGAACTTCGTGGATATAACGCTGCGCGTTCATGTTACCTCTGATGAAGATTAAAGGTGACCTATAGCACCCCAAACCATAACTCCAACAGTGTGATGAACATGTCTTTCAACAAAAAACTGTGCATTCCTCCTTTCACCACGTCGCCTTCTAACCCTGGCACGACCATCGTGCATGCCTAAACAAAATCGAGACTCGTCACTAAAGACAATACTGTTCCATTCCTGATCTCAGAGTGACCGTTGTCTGCACCACTCAAGGCGATTACGTCGGTGTTCTCGAGTTAAAGGGAGGACCCAGTGTGGCCGGTATGAAAACGAGCCAAAACTTCTCATTCGTCGGTAAACACTTCGCATGCCAATAGGTCTTCCGTGTTCTGCAAACCATTCATTTGCTATGGACCTGGTAGTGGAGAAACGGTCCCTTAAGGGCAATAATCTTAGGCGGCAATCTTCGCGGTCTGTTGTTCTACGGCGGCGTCCAGTGCCCCTTGCTCTTTGCGTACGGCCTTTTCGAAGCCATGCCTGACAACACCTAACCACAGTGTCGACACTTCTTTCCACTCTAACTGCAATTGCTCGAAAAGAAAGTCCAGCTTCCCGAAGTAAACATTCACCAACTATTATTAAAATAAAACCATTTAAACTGGGTGTTCGGATTTATATGTCACTTAGTATACAATGATATAGGTGCTACACAGTACGGAGTTCTAGACTCTATATCTCCATTACTTTTTTAATTTGATCCAATCCAATGGATTGTCTTTTTTTTGTTATAATGTCGTCGATACGTCCAAGATAAATCGCCATTGACGCAGAGTGAGGACTAGATTTTGATCAAACAAGGAGTATTAAACACAACAATTGTTGATCGGATGGCAGACATAATATTAATTTCGAGCTATGCCATTTGCTATGTTGAACATGCTGATGATGCGTTAGTGTGTGAGGCTCCCCATCATCCTGATTGTCACCAAACATAATAACATGTTGCATAGCGACTTTAAAGGTTCATATAATTTTAGGAAAGCTGCCTTTCAGCTGCTCTATGAAATGATTGTGAATATTAGCTGGGGCGATTTGAAAAATTTTTGTGACGTTGATCTAGCTTGTGAGTATTTCTATTTTGAGATCTATAGAATTCTTGATTGTTGTGATCCTAAAGTTAGAATATCTTATAATAATAGGTATCCTCCTTGGTACAACAGCCGTATCATTAGAACCCTCAAACAAAAAATGGTGGCATTCAAGACTTTCAGACGCACTGGTGATACTTATTACATAGAAAAATTTATAAGACTTCGCTCAGAGATAAGGCCACATGTAGCTGTTTCATATCGTCGCTACATTCACTCTTTAGAGCGTGAAATATCCAACAGCTCCGGCAAATTCTGGTCTTTTGTTAATAGAAAAAGAACCTGCACTGGTATTCCGAAGGGCTGGGGTTGAATACACCTAATGATGTTGTTGGCGCATTTGCGGAACACTTTAGTGGGAGGTATAATACTCCAACAGCTCAATCTAATTTTTCTACTGACTATCATTTCACTGCTACACTAGCTATGCCTAGGGTACAGGAAATCGATGTGCTACAGGCGCTGAAGAAAATTAAGCCAAAAATGACTGCAGGGCCTGATGAAATACCTGCATTTTTTGTGAGAGATTGTGCGTCCATTTTAGCATATCCACTCGTGATCATTCTCAATCTCTCTCTGAAAAATAATCACTTTCCATCTATATGGAGGTTGTCTAGGGTAACTCCTGTTTTTAAAAAAGGTGAGAGGAATTATGTAGAAAACTATCGGGCTATCACAATTATCAGTAATTTCGAAATAGTGATACAAACTGTGCTATATTTTCACGTAAGCAGGTCTATCTCCGTCAGTCAACACGGTGTCATGAAGGGCAGGTCCACAGTTACTAACTTGCTGCATCTTACTCAATTTGTTTGTGAATCAATCGATAGACAACTTCGGATGTAATATATACTGATTTCTCTAAAGCGTTTGATAGTTTAGACCATAACATTCTACTCAATAAGTTATCTAGATTTGGTCTTTCAGATGCATTGTTGCTATTTTTCACATCTTATTTATGTCATAGGAAACAATGTCTTATGTGTTTAAGTCAAGCGAATACCCTGTAATGTTCGGTGTTCCTCAAGGATCTAATTCGGGACCTCTGTTATTTATTATGTTCATAAATGATATTTCTGAAGTTTCGATGTCGATTTTCTTATGTATGCTGACGATATGAAACTTTTCTGTAGAGTCTCTAACATTGACGATTGTCATCGCTTGCAATGCAACATTGTAAGGGTTGACAACTGGTGTCGTGAAAACAGACTTGTTTTGAATGCTGCTAAGTGTCACGTATTGTCGTTTACTTTAAAAACAGAGGTAATGATGTATGAATATAGTATTGGTGACAGGAAACTTGACAGACCTAGTACAATTGATGACTTGGGAGTCACATTTGACAGAAAACTTTCCTTCTCCTATCACATTGAAAATGCTGTTGTGCCTGCATCAAAGGCGTACGGTTTTATTGTAAGAAATACAGGTGATTTCCACAACTCCTTTACACTGAAAATACTGTACTATGCTTATGTAAGATCTAAGCTTGAGTATGCGTCCCTGGTATGGTATCCTCATCATCAAATATCACTTTGAAGTTGAGTCATTAATTTTGCACTCGATTGGGAAACCGATCCGCATAAATCCGTGATGCCGCGTAAATAAGAATCATGTTCACAAGTTCAGCATTTTCGTAAACATGTGCCATGTTTGATTTCGTTTGAGCCACGCAACAGACACCACTATTCACTCACGCGTTACCGACTGACACTGACTGTATACAACTGAATAAAATAATTGTAAAAACATCGTTCCAAATGCTTTCGCTTTTTTGTTTCCGATGCGATGAACCGATAAGGCGGATTATATCCGTTGTCGCCAAACACGAGCACATAATATTATTCTTGAGACAGGGCGGTACTCAAACTTCCAAAGGGCTATAACTTTGTTACTTTAATTTTACCAGAAAAATGTTAAAGGAAAAAAACATTTCTTTTGATCAGATCTGCTCACTGTTAAAATAAATGACTCAACTTCGAAGTGCCGTAATTATAATTCAGTTAATAGCGTTTTAGATATATTTTTGTTTTGTGCGACTTTTGGAGACATTAATGCTTATTTTCGTTAATGCTTGCCGGTGTGATTGTTGAGTGCTGGGAAAGTAAAGCTAGAACGCCTTTTTTCCTCCCAGTTCTGTTTTGAGGTTTTTTTTGCAGCGTTTTAGCTTTCTCTACATACATCCACAACATGCATTTGTTTATATTTTCATGTTTATCCATCCCGTAATCGGCTATGGCTGTTGGATGTTGCTAAATAAATAAATATAGCTACTTTAGTCTACTTACTTATTTAAACAAAATAACGTTTCAAACGTTCACTGCGGCATATGTTTTAGTAACGTTTCTAATCCCATATTGGTGAAACGTTTGGTAAAAAAATAATGGAAAGTTTTGGAACGTTTGCATTATTTAGTAGTGTGATGCTGATGTTTAATGATTTTTCATGATGAAACAAAATGTGTTTTTGATTCTAGTGTGCCAGTAGGTGGGTCCTTAAGCACCAGCATAAGTTCAAGCAGTCCGTCAGGGCGTGTTCCTTGCGGGTTAAACAAAAACTTGGTTACGAGCAGGACGAGAAGGCGAACGAACAGTACGAATATGATTCAGAATACACGTTCAGAGTAAGTAGGAAAACTAAAATATAGTTGCTCAGATTACATTCACTTCTAAAAAATGGCGTCGCGTAGATTGACTGTATACGAGTCCCTTCCCACTTCAGTTGGCCCACTTCAAGATTTGTACCAAAATATGCGTTTATAAACTAAACATGACGAAACTATTTACTTCTGGACAATGTGGAGGTTATCAGTGGAAAAAAAGATGAAATCTCGGGGGAATTTTCAATAGTTGATAGTTTTAAAATCTCCAAATTTCTTCCAAAATCAATCAACGAATAATTTTAAATAAAACCTTTCTACATGATTTGCCATTTAATAATAAAATAATTCCGTCCTGATCGAACCTCATCGGTCCAGTTTTTTATTCGTCGACTGTGTTCCCTTCACTGTTGTTTAAAAAATAATTTCAGCAACAATCTCGCAGACTTAGTAAGTAAATGTTTTTCTCCTAATTGCTATTAGTTGCTATTTTAATAATTGTTTCCGGCTCCAGACGATGACGATAAAGTTCTTCGAAAGCTTGGGAATTTAAGTTATAAGAGTGTACTTTTGCAATAGTTTGCTTTTTACTTAAAGAAATTAAGAGATATCTTCTACTAACAGTTAAGGCAATTAACTATGAATACTATACTAAGTGACATATAAATCCGAATACCTAGTTTAAATGATTTTATTTTAATAAAAGTTGGTGAATGTATTTATCTTACTGTAAATAACAAGTGAAAAAATTTCGGTTTTTATACTGCTTTTTTTAATTCACTAACGCTCTAAAAATGAATATTTCAGCCGCAGTAAAGAATCAACGTTGGCGGATTTTGGTTCTTGACATCCTTTACGATCGGTTACGATGCCTAGAGTACGGAGACCTATACGATTTCGTCAACTTAGTGAGTTTGATAGGGGCCGTATAGTGGGACTTCGGGAAGCTGGACCTTCTTTTCGGGCAATTGCAGTTAGAGTGCAAAGAAGTGTAGACGCTGTGGTTAGGTGTTGTCAGGCATGGCTTCGAGAAGGCCGTACGCAAAGAGCAAGGGGCACTGGACGCCGCCGTAGAACAACAGACCGTGAAGATCGCCGCCTAAGATTATTGGCCTTAAGGGACCGTTTCTCCACTACCAGGTCCATTGCAAATGAATGGTTTGCAGAATACGGAAGACCTATTGGCATGCGAAGTGTTTACCGACGAATGTGAAGTTTTGGCTTGTTTTCATACCGGCCACACTGGGTCCTCCCTGTAACTCGAGAACACCGACGTAATCGCCTTGAGTGGTGCAGACAACGGTCACTCTGGGATCAGGAATGGAACAGTATTGTCTTTAGTGACGAGTCTCGATTTTGTTTAGGCATGCACGATGGTCGTGCCAGGGTTAGAAGGCGACGTGGTGGAAGGAGGAATCCACAGTTTTTTGTTGAAAGACATGTTCATCACACTGTTGGAGTTATGGTTTGGGGTGCTATAGCTTATGGATCCAGGTCACCTTTAATCTTCATCAGAGGTAACATGAACGCGCAGCGTTATATCCACGAAGTTCTAGAACCCCATCTTTTACCCTATCTTAACACCCTGGCAGATCCAACTTTCCAACAAGATAATACCCGACCACATGTTGCAAGAGTCACAATAGACTTCTTTCAACATAATGATGTCACATTGTTACCATGGCCACCAAGATCTCCCGACTTATCCCCAATTGAGCACGTGTGGGATATGATGGGTAGGAGATTGCTCAATTTGCAACGTCCTCCTCAGACTCTAGAAGCACTTCGAGAGGAGTTGGTGGTTGCCTGGAATGAGATACCACAGGAGGACATTGACCACCTGATCAGAAGCATGCCTAGGCGCGTTGGAGTTATGCGTAGCACATCAGGGTGCATCCACACATTATTAAAGGTCAAATGGCTTTAAAGCAGTGCAATCATTTTGAAATTTTTATCATTTACCTATTTTGCTTCATTAAGTACTTATACAAAATTTTATTAAAATAAAACCATTTAAACTGGGTGTTCGGATTTATATGTCAGTTAGTATATTATCCAAATGTTGAGGGAAACAACCAGTAACCTGGTGAATGCTGGATACTTAGTACATTCGTCAAAATTAATACAAACTACACACAGCTGTATGTCAGGAACAAATTAAAACAGATTAAAAATGTTTAAAATGAAAGTTAAAGTTACATCGTGAACCATCTGATGCTGCACAAAATGGTGGTCATAGGATCACAAGTAGGATGAAATATTTGACAGGTGACAGAAGGTTGGTGGTGTCAGTGTCGATGGATGGAACGAAATTTTTTGTAAAGTGTGTACTGTGTTGCCAAATCACTTCAGATGGTGTTATTTATCAAGATATGTTTATATATATATATATATATACGTATATATATATATATACGTATATGTTAGGTGAAAAATTAAAGCTTCCGCCTTTTGTTGGGTACTTCGACAAAATTTAAGCAAAGAGGACTCTTTATACTTTTTTTAATTCTCTCTAGCTTTCAATGGACTTTGCCATCATCATCAGGAGCTGCAATTACAATGATAACAGTAGCAACAAAAGTGTAAAATGAATTTAAATTGAATCAACTTACAGTAGTATGTGAGGATGTTGCTAATTGTTGTTTTCGTATAGGATGAGGGAAACGTCCAGTAACATGGTGAGAGCTGGATACATGGTACAATGGTTAAAATTATATAAAATATGACAAGACAAGTTAAAGACAGATTAAAAATTATTTAGAAAGCATTAGAGCATTACATCGTGAAGCCACTTGATGATTGCACAAAATGGTGGTCATGGAATAATGAGTGAGATGAACCTTTGACAGAAGGCCGAAGGTTGTCAATGTCTGTGTTGAAAGATGGAACGAATTGTGGGCGTGTGTTAGTTAACACAGTCTACCCCATCAATTGCAACAACTGCAACCAAATATACATAGGTCAGACCTCCAGATCTCTTAAAGGAAGGATTACATCACACAAAAGTGATGCTAGGCTTCATCCTGAAAGATGCGCTCTAGCATCTCATGTTAACACAACAGGGCATTCTATGAATTACACAAGTATCAAAGTTCTTGATAAAGAAAAACACCTTTCCAAACGTTTATTCCTGGAAATGTCCCACATTTTCATGAATAACAACTGTATCAACAAAAAGACAGATATTAAACAACTGAGTGTCATTTACTCATATTTGCTAAACTGCGAAAAATTGGAGAACTTACATATCTCCCCAAATTTCGACTTTTCACAACCATAAATATAATCTGTGTTTTGGCCGATTCCACCAACAAATTTCATTCCACTCAAAATCTAATAATTCTCTTCTCACGATTTATTAATAATTGTTAATTTAAAATTCCCATTAATTAAATTCAACTGCCTCTGGTCGGTTTAACAATTTCTTACATAACATTCGGAAAATCACATCATCTAAAGTGATTTGGCAACGTTTTGGCACACGCCCACAATTCGTTCCATCTTTCAACACAGACATTGACAACCTTCGGCCTTCTGTCAAAGGTTCATTTCACTCATTATTCCATGACCACCATTTTGTGCAATCATCAAGTGGCTTCACGACGTAATGCTCTAATGTTTTCTAAATAATTTGTAATCTGTCTTTAACTTGTCTTGTCATATTTTATATAATTTTAACCATTGTACCATGTATCCAGCTCTCACCATATTACTGGACGTTTCCCTCATCCTATACGAAAACAACAATTAGCAACATCCTCACATACTAATGTAAGTTGATTCAATTTAAATTCATTTTACACTTTTGTTGCTACTGTTATCATTGTAATTGCAGCTCCTGATGATGATGGCAAAGTCCATTGAAAGCTAGAGAGAATTAAAAAAGTATAAAGCGTCCTCTTTGCTTAAATTTTGTCGAAGTACCCAACAAAAGGCGGAAGCTTTAATTTTTCACCTAACTGGTCTAGACGACGATGACCACGTCTCAAGTTATATATATATATTCAAAATTTTCTGCGAATACAATACCTCCTCCACCACTAGGCATGTACAGTAAAAATGAAAAAGGAACATATGAAAAGCTCAGTTATACTACTACGTCTTTTCTATGTAACCAAGTTCTTTAGTTTTTTCTTATTAGTCTTATCATATTAGACACAACCAAACAAACAGAATAGTATTGAAAACTCTTCAAGATACAATCTTGAAACTTTAAATAACGTATACCGAACATTTTGCCCAATTTCGCTACAATTGGTTGATATTTGCCTACTGTTTTTTCATTTTCTCGAGTTTATTTTCCGATATTTTGAACTCGCAGTTGTTTAAATCGCACAAGATATCGAAAACAGACGTTAATGTATTAGTACTTTTAGAAAAAAGGACCAGGGAATTGCATTTCTTCGTAAAGACACTATATTACGTGACATACTTATTTGACAAGGTCATGTAGTCATCAATAATGCAGCCACTTAGCACAAGCTGCATAGTAACTAGTCTAAGACAGTTTGAAACATAATCGTCTTCAGTTTGCGTGCTAACTTGATAATCAGTTCAGCGCATTTCAGTATGGAATATTTTTTTTATAAACTTAAGGGCTCATCTGTGTGTAAAAATGTCTGCTCTAGATATGTATACACAAAAGTATGAAGAAATCTTGAAAAAAGATTGTTTTCTTCGCAAAAAAATGTGATGGATACACCCGCTTTGTTTTAAAATGGGTATAACAACGTATGTTTTTCTAATATCGTAGCGAATCTGTTCAATTACTCACAAATACGAAATGTTTGAGTTTGTTTAGAAGAAAAAAAATATAACCCTTCGTTTATCGCATAAAAAGAACAATTAGCTTTTGGAATGGTTTGTGATTTATGTCGGCAAGGTAAACTTGTATATTTTGCTATAAAATGCTCTTTCAACGAACCCTGTATATTGCTCACTAAACTAGTAGTGATGGCTGGAAGACAGGTGTTTTAGGATAAACAATTAGAAATGTTCAAAGACTACGTGACCAATCGACTCCAATTTTGTTGTGGTTACTTAGAAGTATGAAGCCTACGGATTTGAAGAATTTCAAGTAGCTGCTTGAAATTATCGTCGCGTTAGCAGCAAGTGCAAGAAACTTGCATTTTGCATCGGTTTTCGGCTATAACTTTTTTACTATTGGTCGAATCTTTTTACATGTGGTCTCATTCTGTAGGTCTCATAAATACGTAAAAATCTTATTGGAATAGTTTTTTAACTTTAATGTGTTTCTACGAAATATTTCTTAATTGTAAGATCAATATTTCTTTGAAACAAGGAAATTAATTCAAGTGCTGTAATAATAAACATGAGAAAGCAGCAATCCCACCTTACAAGCGTTCGAAGTGCTACCCTGTACGTTTTCTCTTTTATTACGAGGGTAGTACATAAACAACTTATTGAGGGCTTCAATGTCAGAATAATTTCAAACCCACTTACTTGGTGACGTAACGACAGGGAAGCTGTCTTTCCTTGGCGAGAGATAGAATCGATAGGATTGGGTTGTCGGGGCCAAGCCTATTTTGATCATAAAGCAATATAATAATGGCCATGATGATTCTCAATTATATTAGAACAAATTACAATACATTGCATGGGGGAGCTTCCTACCGCAAGGAAGTTATACCCATGTCCATAACCAGGGGAACGGTACCTTCCTACCGTATAGAAGTCACGTCTGTGTCCATATTCGAGGGAATGGTAGCTTCCTAGTGCATGGAGGTCACGCCTGATATGGTAATATCTCGCACGGGGGAAGGGTAGCTTCCTATCGCATTTAAGTCACGTCTGATATGGAAATACCTCGTACGCGACAACGGTAGCTTCCTACCGCATGGAAGTCACGCCTGGTATGTAAATACGTCGCACGGGGAAACGCTAGCTTCCTACTGCATAGAAGCCACGCCTGGTATGGAAATACGTCGCACGGGGGAACGGTAGCTTCCTACCACATGGAAATCACTCATATCCATAACCAGGGAAACGGTAGCTTCCTCCCGCATAGACGTCACGCCCGTGTCCATACTCGGGGAATGGTAGCTTCCTAGTGCATGGAAGCCACGCCTGATATGGAGATATCTCGCACAGAGGAAAGGTAGCTTATTATCGCATGGACGTCACGCACGTGTCCATAAGCGGAGGAATGGTAGCTTCGTACTGCATGGAAGTCACGCCTGGTATGTAAATACCTACTGCATGGAAGCCACGCATGGTATAGATATACATCGCACGGGGGAACGGTAGCTTCCTACGCATGGAAGTCATGCCTGTGTCCATACTGGGGGAATGGTAGCTTCTTAGTGCAAGGAAGTCATGCCTGATATGGAAATATCGCGCACAGGGAAAAGGTAGCTTCCTACCGCATGGAAGTCACGCACGTGTCCATAAGCGGAGGAACGGTAGCTTCCTAGCGCATGGAAGTCACACATATCCATAACCAGGCGAACGGTAGCTTCCTACCGCATAGAAGTCACGTCTGATAGGTAAATACGTCGCACGGGGAACGGTAGCTTCCTACTGCATGGAAGCCACGCTTGGTATGGAAATACGTCGCACGGGGGAACGGTAGCTTCCTACTGCATGGAAATCACTCATATCCATAACCAGGGAAAGGGTAGCTTCCTACCGCATAGAAGTCACGCCCGTGTCCATACTCGGGGAATGGTAGCTTCTTAGTGCATGGAAGTCATGCCTGATATGGAAATATCTCGCACGGGGGAACGGTACCTTCCTACGCATGGAAGTCACGCCCGTGTCCATACTGGGGGAATGGTAGCTTCTTAGTGCAAGGAAGTCACTCTTGATATGGAGATACCTTGCACGGGGAACGATAACTTCTTACCGCATTCAAGTCACGCCTGTGGCCGTACTCTGGGGAACGGTAGCTTTCTACCGCATGGAAGTCTCACCCATGTCCATAACCAGCGGAATGGTAGCTTCCTACTACAAGGAAGTCATGCCTGATATAGAAAGATCTCGCACGCGGGTACGGTAGCTTCAAACCACATGGAAGTCACACCCATGTCCATAACCAGGGGAGCGGTAGCTTCCTACCGCATGGAAGTTACGTCTGAAATAAAAATACCTCGCACAGGGGAACGGCAGCTTCCAACTGCATGAAAGTCATACCCATATACATATAACCAGGAGAACGGTAGCTTCCTACCGCATGGAAGTCACGTCCGTGTCCATATTCGAGGGAATGGTAGCTTCCTAGTGCATGGAGGTCACGCCTGATATGGAAATACGTCCCACGCGGCAACGGTAGCTTCCTACTGCATGGAAGTCACGCCTGGTATGTATATACGTCGCACGGGGAAACGGTAGTTTCCTACTGCATGGAAGTCACGCCTGGTATGTAAATACGTCGCACGGGAAAACGGTAGCTTCCTACCATATGGAAATCACTCATATCCATAACCAGGGAAACGGCAGCTTCCTTCCGCATAGGAGTTACGCCCGTGTCCATACTCGGGGAATTGTGGCTTCCTAGGGCATCGAAGTCACGCCTGATATGGAAATATCTCGCACGGGGGAACGGTAGCTTCCTACCACATGGAAATCACACATATCCATAACCAGGGAAATGGTAGCTTCCTACCGCATAGAAGTCACGCCCGTGTCCATACTCGGGGAATGGTAGCTTCCTAGTGCATGGAAGTCTCGCCTGATATGGAAATATCTCGCACAGGGGAAAGGTAGCTTCCTATCGCATGGAAGTCACGCACGTGTCCATAATCGGGGAATGGTAGCTTCCTACCGCATGGAAGCCACACCCATGTCCATAACCAGGGGAACGGTAGCTTCCTACCACAAGGAAGTCCTGCCTGATATGGAAAGATTTCGCACGGGGAAACGGTAGCTTCAAACTGCATGGAAGTCACACCCATGTCCATAACCAGGGGAACGGTAGCTTTCTACCGCATGGAAGTTACGTCTGAAATAAAAATACCTCGCACGGGGGAACGGCAGCTTCCAACCGTATGGAAGTCACGCCTGATATGGAAATACCTTGCACGGGGGAACGATAGCTTCCTACCGCATTGAAGTCACACCTGTGTTCATACTCTGGGGAACGGTAGCTTTCTACCGCATGAAAGTCTCACCCATGTCCATAACCAGCGGAACGGTAGCTTCCCAGCGCATGGAAGTCACGCCTGATATGGATACCTTAATAAACCGATGATCAGCCAGATATGCCAAGTTTTATATTGTTACAAAAAGCGGCCCAGAAATAAGGATATCACGTTGCCGTGTCAATACCCAAAAGCTCTGATTCAGAGGTAAACGAGCGGCATGATAACAATCCCTACACATAGTAAGTCTCATAACAGCCTACAGGATCTGGAGGCGTCACACCTCTGTAGATGTTTGGCTCTTGTTGCGTCTAGCTTTATCTTAATTGTCGATAAACATATCTTATTTGACTGTTTTTGACTTATGACAATCATTATCATGATTATAAGGGTGCCACGGTTAGAAAATGTACATGATATGCAGTATAGCAAAACAAAGATACTCAGTGAAAAATCACACCGTTTTATTGATCGAACCTTGACCTGAACTTGATATTCATAAAATCATAATACACAGATACTTCGACTTTTCAACTGTTAGAACAATATTCGACTGAATTAAGAGGACCTGTGCCTCAGCGTGCCCTTGGTTTCACGAATAAGCGTGAAATTTAGCGGAGTCGTAAGTGGTTGTTGAAATGTCTATGTCAGCAGGATCTTTCTTAGCATTCCAAGTGTCAACTGAAACCGTTTACAGGGTGTCTCACATGCAGAAACGTGTCTGCATTCAAATGCCATAATTTCATAGGAATTTATGCTCTTGAATATAGAGATCATCTTTTTCTGTGTATTGCTTACAAAATTCTTCCCTCTTTCAGTATGCAGACCTGACCACAAAACTATGCGATCCAACTCAACTAAGGTCGAAGCCGGATGTCAGCGAGCTAAAGTTTGGACAAATATTCACAGACCACATGTTGAAGGTGTTCTATCACAAACAACTCAGAGGTTGGCAGAAACCGAATATTATACCTTTCGAGAATATTTCGCTTCATCCTGCCGCCAAAGCTTTACATTATTCCATCGAGGTAAGTACAAAATTATCATGACAAATATACAGGGTGGCCCAACGAAAAGATCGTGCCCCCGTTTGTGACTCTCCTGGTACAAAACGCTCAGACAATTTTGATTTCTAGGGTGACGTCTTTTTATCTATAGCCGTACAATACAGGATGATCCAAAAATGACAACCCTCGTTTTAATTTTCAGATTCTACATGAAGCTTTAAGTAGCTTTTGTATAATAAAGTTTATACCTATCTTCAATCGTTGTGAAGCTACGGCATAATATAAATTCTAGAAATTGTGATGATAAGGGATTATATCGTAAGAATAATAACACTGCACAACAAATTTTAGTTTTTTAATTGTATCTTGTGGGAAAAGTGCACTTCTTTGTTTATTTTGGGGCGGTTTAGAAAAAAAACTTTTTATTTTTAAGGATATATTAAAAAAAGTAACAAGATTCATATACGTATAAGAATCACTATATGCGCTGTCTTTTTGCTGTTCTTTTATGGATCGTTTCTGGAGCATCTCTACCAAGAGTCCAACAGTAGTCTGCAAGCATGGAAGGATTCCACTTTCCCTGGTACCTTTTTTCCATTGTTGAAATATCCTGATGAAAACGTTCGCCGTGCTCATCACTTACGGCTCCGCAATTGTCAGGAAAAAAGTCCTGGTGTGAGTGTAGGAAATGTATCTTAAGAGACATATTACAGCCCATCTTTTGATACGATGACAGCATATATTTGACAAGGGATTTATAGTTGTCAGCTTTTCTATTTCCCAAGAAATTAGTGACCACCAGACGGAAATAATTCCAAGCAGTTTTTTCAATACCTGTTAAAGTGTTTTCAAACTGTGTATCTTTCAAAATATTTCGAATCTGTGGCCCAACAAAAATACCTTCTTTAACCTTTGCCTCACTTAGTCTTGAAAATTTCTGACGCAGGTATTGAAAAACTGACCCATCTCTATCTAATGTCTTGACAAAGCTTTTCATTAGGCCCAACTTGATATGCAGTGGTGGTAATAAATTTTATTTCGAATCTACTAATGGCATATGCTGTACATTTTTTTGACTTGGCTCTAGGAATTGACGAACAGGCCAGTTTTGTCTGGTGTAATGAAGTGCCTTTGCCCGACTGTCCCATTCACACAAAAAACAGCAAAACTTTGTGTAGCCTAGCTGCAGCCCAAGTAAAAGTGCAACAACTTTCAAATCGCCACAAATATGCCATTGGTGCTCATCGTATTTTATGCATGTCAATATTGTCATATGATTCTTTCATGTGAACTGCATACCCTACAGGAAGAGATGGTAAAATATTTCCAATATGCAATAACACTGCCTTTAAACTCAATGTTGAACTGTCTATAAACAATCTCCATTCTTCTGGGTTATAGTTTATATTTAAAGCCGCCAGTAAGCCGTTAATGTTACTGCAGAAAACCAAGTTATTCTCCATATTGAAAAATGGTTCGAAGTCTTTGTGGCGTTTACGAAAAACACATACCGAAACATCGTCTTCTAACAAGTTCCACTGCTGCAGTCTTGATCCAAGTAACTCTGCCTTACATTTTGGAAGTTCTAAATCTCTTACAAGATCTTTTAATTCTGACTGTGTTATTTTGTGCGGTTGGTGGCATGACGTGCTCGGTATAAAATCAGGATCTCTTGACGTTGATGACATATCTTCTTCCTGACGAATCACTCGATCGCCATGATCTGATTCGTTTTCTGATTCGCAAGTGTAGGATTCTGGGGGTTTTGGAATAGGATTCTCGTCACTGTGAGGCACAGGTCTCATCGCAGATGGTATGTTTGGGTAGTTAATAACCGATTTTTTTTCTTGAACATACCTGTGGCTTGTCCAACACACGGTACCATGCAAAAGTAACAATCATTAATATGATTTGTAGGCTCTCTCCAAACCATTGGGACAGCAAAGCGCATAGACCGTTTTTTGCCATTTAACCAGCTCCTCAGACTTGAAGCACATGTATTACAGTAGATGTGGGGTGCCCACTGTTTGTCTTGATCACCTAGTTTACAGTCGAAATAAAGCTGATATGCCTTTGTTATTAGTGGAGTAATAGACCGTCTCTGAGACGCAAAAGTCACATCACCACACACGTAACAAAACTGATCTGGATTGTTTACACACTTTCGAGACATCCTGCATGAACGCTGTCAGTCAACTGAGGAAAAAATGGCTAATATAAAACAATATAATGTACACGTATGTATAACGTAACACAATCATGCCGATTACATCATCTTTCCTTGCCGAATATAAAAATGTAGCACGTGCATTCTTATGAATTACAGTATATTAACACTGTCACAGCAGGAACACATATAATTACAGTATCTCTAAAACTTGAACTAATATTGAAAAAATAAGTTTCATTCCGGTTTCAGCACATTAAAAATAGTAATATTTTGTTGATTTTATTTAGGATATTTTTTGGCTGTTGATCAGTGTTATCAACGTAGCTCCCATAGTACTAAGACTTTAGTTCAAAATTAAAAACAAGTCTCCGAGTATTAAGTAAACAAAAAGCAACTTACAGTTTATATTCAAATTAAAGTTAAAGTAAAAATTAATTTGCTATAAAGAGGCAGATTGAAGATAGGTATAAACTTTATTAGACCACAGTTACTAAAAACTGTATAAGCTTTGTGAGTGTTTGCCCAATTTTAAGTTTCACGGGTTTCGGTATGTGTTTTTCGTAAACGCCACAAAGACTTAGAACCATTTTTCAATATGGAGAATAACTTGGTTTTCTGCAGTAACATTAACGGCTTACTGGCGGCTTTAAATATAAACTATAACCCAGAAGAATGGAGATTGTTTATAGACAGTTCAACATTGAGCTTAAAGGCAGTGTTATTGCATATTGGAAATATTTTACCATCTCTTCCTGTAGGGTATGCAGTTCACATGAAAGAATCATATGACAATATGAAGTACCTATTGACATGCATAAAATACGATGGGCACCAATGTGGCGATTTGAAAGTTGTTGCACTTTTACTTGGGCTGCAGCTAGGCTACACAAAGTTTTGCTGTTTTTTTGTGTGAATGGGACAGTCGGGCAAAGGCACTTCATTACTCCAGCCAAAACTGGCCTGTTCGTCAATTCCTAGAGCCAGGTCAAAAAAATGTACAGCATATGCCATTAGTAGATTCGAAAAAAAATTTATTACCACCACTGCATATCAAGTTGGGCCTAATGAAAAACTTTGTCAAGGCATTAGATAGAGATGGGTCAGCTTTTCAATACCTGCGTCAGAAATTTCGAAGACTAAGTGAGGCAAAGGTTAAAGAAGGTATTTTTGTTGGGCCACAGATTCGAAATATTTTGAAAGATACACACTTTAACAGATATTGAAAAAACTGCTTGGAATGATTTCCGTCTGGTGGTCACTAATTTCTTGGGAAATAGAAAAGCTGACAACTATAAAATCCTTGTCAAAAATATGCTGTCATCGTATCAAAAGATGGGCTGTAATATGTCTCTTAAGATACATTTCCTACACTCACACCTGGACTTTTTTCCTGACAATTGCGGAGCCGTAAGTGATGAGCACGGCGAACGTTTTCATCGGGATATTTCAACAATGGAAAAAAGGTAGCAGGGAAAGTGGAATCCTTCCATGCTTGCAGACTACTGTTGGACTCTTGGCAGAGATGCTCCAGAAACTATCCATAAAAGAACAGCAAAAAGACAGCGCATATAGTGATCCTTATAAGTATATGAATCTTGTTACTTTTTTTTAATATATCCTTAAAAATAAAAAGTTTTTTTCTAAACCGCAACTAATTTTTTTAATCCATTGTCATTTTTGGATTCAGCGCCCCAAAGTTAACAAAGAAGTGCACTTTTCCCACAAGATACAATTAAAAAACTAAAATTTGTCGTCCAGTGTAATCTTACCATTGGATATGTAATTTATCGGATTACAAGGTACTCTTTTGTAAAAAATTCCGGACTATAGGGGGTCTTAGGCAGTGCTCTATAATCCGACAAATTCGATAGTCCGACATTGCCCCGCATAATGCTTGTCGGATTACCGGAGGTCCACCGTATATCTGTTTATTTTTTCAGCTGTTCGAGGGCATGAAAGCTTATAGAGGAGTAGACGGTCGAATCAGATTGTTCAGACCAGACCTGAACATGCAGCGTATGAACGTCTCATCTATGTCAGTTGGACTGCCCACTTTCGACACCCACGAATTGACCAAATGTATCAGGCGTTTGATACAAATAGATCAAGAATGGGTACCGCACAGTGAATCAAGTAGCCTGTACATCAGACCATGTATCATCGGAATCGATGTAAGTCCAATATTTCCTATATGTTACTTGAATTACACCTAGAAAATGGCGCCGAGTAGGTTGACTCTGCACTTTCTATGCAACGTCGTCATCAGAAAAATTAAACGGATCAAGTTACTCGAACAGGCCCGTACAATCAGATTCCCAACGCTGTAATTTTGTCTCGTGTGATGCTAGGTGAAATCTGGCAACAACGACTTCAACAAGAAGCGCCCATTGGGCCTGAAAAAATGTGAGAACCTTATTTTTGAGACCGACTTACGCGCAGCTGCAGTACGAGTAGAAGTCAACCAGACTGGTACGCCAGGTGGTGAGCCCAGATACATCAGAAGGAGACGCGTATCGAAAAGGTTTTTTTAAAAAAAAATCCTTAGAATTCCTAGTGACCTTCTGTGAAAATTTTATCAAAATCCGAGCGATACTCTCAAGATATAGACAGGATTAGCGGGCAGACATACAAACATGAAGATCGACAGACAGACAGATTGACAAAAACAATATGTTATTTTTGAATTTTCTCGCGATTACAACACTTTCTCGCCAGTGAGCGCGGGAAAGATTTGGATAGTATTGCAAAATATGGAGGACAGGATAATTTTACGCTATAATAGTAATAATAATAATATTTATTCACTCAATGTACAAAGATAACAAACAATATCAGTAAATAAATATAAAATCAAAACGGGCCCAATAGAAGGCATCGCCTGTACATGGACCAATAATTTAAGTTGAAACTGTAGAATGCAAATGACAAAAAAGGACAAAAATTAGCTACAGTTGATTATGTATTTAGTTGGTGTTCGTATTTATGAGTTTATGAATTTCAGTACTAGATATAGAATGTAGCCACTTTTTTAAATTTCTTTTGAAACAATTTCCGAAACGTAAATCTTTTAAGTCTTTAGGTATAATTTCATAAAATTTAGGCGCTAAATAGAGATATGACAGCTGCATTATAGATTTATGCGATTGAGGAACTACTGTGCCACGAATTTTGTACCTGGTATAATGATTATGTTTAATTTTTTGGTCGGTGTTTACAAATTTATGGTAGTGAGTGATACTGTGTAAGAAATAAAGCTGTCTTATATCATACATTCGAACATCTGCGTATAATTTTTCAGTGGGATAAAGTTTCGGTTTTTTAAATATCATTTTAGAATACTTTTTTGAAAAACATCTAAATTATAGATATGTGAGGAACATGCAGCTCCCCATGCTAATATACCATATGTGAGATGAGGCTCAATCAGTGCATGGTATAATGTTCGAAGATATTTTTCTGTCAATATATTCCCAAGGTATTTAATTTTGTAGGATACAAATCTAACTTTCTTTAAAATATAATTGACATGGATGTCCCATCGTAAGTGAGGATCCAAGACGATTCCAAGGTATTTTATGTTGGGCACTCTGTTAATTTGCATTTTTTGATCATTAATATTGAAGGAGAAATTTGTGTAATTTGGCAGATGTCTAGCATGAGATCCTAATGGTAAAAAATATGTTTTAGAGTGGTTAATGCTTAATTTTCTACTGTTAAACCACCGAATAATTCTGATAAAATCATTTTCAATTACATTTTTCAGATCAGACCAGTCAGTGCCTTCATATAATATTGCAGTATCATCTGCAAAACTAGTTATTTTGCCAACACAATTAATTTGGAAAATATCATTTAAATATATATTGAATAACAGCGGACCTAAGACAGTTCCTTGTGGGACACCACACTTAATATACATTTCTTTACTAAATGATCCTGATATCTGTACAGATTGTGGGCGATTTGACAAATAATTTTCGATCAGTGAGTACGGGTTTCCTCTGAAACCAATTCTCTCCAATGCTTCTAATAATAATTTGTGATTAACTGTATCGAAAGCTTTCTTTAAATCAACAAAAATGCAGATTGAAGGGATTCTGTTATCAATATTTTGATATATTTGATTTACAATTTTAGTTATTGCGTCCGATGTAGCCTTCCCTGCTGTAAATCCATATTGATTTTCACTTAAAATTTTGAATTTTGTGAGGTATCGAATCATTCTAGTAGATAAAACTTTTTCAAAAACCTTTGCTACACTGGATATTATTGATATTGGTCTATAGTTGTTATCATCTGTTTTTGTTCCTGATTTATGTATCGGTATTATATTACCTTTTTTTAAAATTGAGGGATATATGCCAGATTCAAAGCATTTGTTGATTAGGTAAGTGAGTGGTTCTGTTATGTCCTCGGCTATAATTTTCAAATGCTCGCTTTTAATACCATCGAACCCAGGACATTTCCGATTTTTTAAGGACATAACAGTGGTGTATACTTCACATTGCTCGACTTTATCCAAAATAAATGAGTTCAAAGTTCTTTTTGGAGGCTGAGTATTTTGTACATTTGCTTGTATATTACTTGCTAAATTTTCGCCTATGTCAGTAAAGAATTGTACAAATTCATCGCATATCTGTTGAGTATTTTTTAATACTGTTCCCGATGTTGTATTTAACTCAGTGACACACTCTTTAACTTTTGTTTTCCCAGTAATCTCATCAATAGTTGTCCAAAGCCGCTTAGGATCATTTAAGTTATTATTCAATTTATTTAGGTAATGTTTTCGTTTGGTTTGCCTTGCAAGCTCTATAAATTTATTTTTATATTGGTTGTAACAGTCGGTATTCTCTGTAGTTGGCGCTAGTTTCATTACATTATATAGTCTTTCTTTTTCTATTGCCGATGTTATTAATCCTTTGGTAATCCAGGCATTTCTGCTTTTCTCTTTGTGACTAATTATTACTTTATTGGTACTAATATCTATTAGTTTTTTTATTTTCTCTATGAACAGTCCCGTTGCTTTGTCTATATTATTTATAGAGTATAATTGTTCCCAGGATTCTTGTTTGACATTTGATATTAGTTTTGAATTGTCGACAAAAAATTTGTAATTTTCCTGGTTGTTATTAACGGTAGGGATGTTAGAATGTTTTCCATTTGAAGATATCAGTAAAATAGTGGAGAAGTGGTCAGTAATATCGCTTTCTAGGATTATTGGTATACAAGTAATTTTGTTGGATAGTTCTTTCACAAAGCAGTGATCTATACATGTGCCACTGATGGACCTTGTAGATAGGTTTATATAGGACAGAAATCCGTTACTTGATAGGATGGGATCATCGTCCAAAATATTTATATTGACATCTCCCAAGAAATATATATACAGGGTGCTAATAAAGTATGTAGACAAACTTTAATCATCGAATCATTGGTCTATTTGAAGACGGAATTTCCCATATGAACATGGGACCGCAGTGGCTCTGTTTTCAAGCTAGATAATAATTAGCACTAAAAGAAATGATAAAATTGTTCTAAAATATAAAAGAATGGAACGTATTTTATTTTAATTAAGTATGCCCTGTGGTGAATATCACATGATTTGCAGTTTTTTCAGACCCTCCATGCACGTAGATACGTACCAGAAAACAATTGTATTAACTCATTGTCTCAAATAATTCGTAGCCACTTTGAACATTTATTGTAAAAAAAAACTATTCGATATTTTCTATTGTTGTCGTTCTATTCGAATGTTACTGTTCAAAACTATTGACCTTCTAAATATTTTTTTTCCAAAAATACAGGGTAATACTATTTTCATCCACTTTCATATAAAGTCTCAGCAACTTGTAAAACATGCAAAATTTATCATACGTTATACCAACCGTTCAATAAATACGTTTCATTATTCGTAGAAATATTTGGAACATTACTCGTATTTCATTAGTGATAGCTCGAATATAAAGCCGTTCATATGAACATTTAGTCTTCAAATTGACCAAGGATTCGATGGTTGAATTTTGTCTACATACTTTGATATGAAAAAGATTCATATTTACTATATTTCGTTTGCGTGATACTCCCTCCTCCTCTAAGTTTAGCGGTTATTGCAAAGATAAGTTCTGTATCAAAACTCTTCTGAATATTCCAAATACAGACAAGTTTAAAGACATATACAGGGTGTATCGGTTTATTGTTGCATAACTTTAAGACTCGATAAAACTTTTAAAATTAATGCATAAAGTCTATATAAACATGGGTCGAAAAATGCGTGGCTTCCGAAATACAGGGTTTAAGTTTACTTTCTAAAATAGTTTTTTTAAATATTTCGAACAATGTGTGATATTTAACAGTGTAAATTGGTATACAAGGGTTTTTTGGTACGACAAAACGAACCATGGGCATAGTTTTACTGTAGCCGCTAGAGGGCGCTCTCTACTGTACCTGTAGTGTATTAAAATGACCTAAAACTTTTTCTTAGTGCAATTTTTTGCTTTTTGAATAAAAAACCTGATTCTTCGCACTTTTCAACATAAAAAAGCTCTCCTGTGAGTTTTCGTTTTTGAGATATTTCGATTTTTAAGGTTCGATGCATTTTTAATTATTTATGGGAAAATAATATGTTTTTTACATTTTCGATTTGGCCATTACCAGTAATTAAGATGATCGTTTAGATTGCGTTTTTAAACACAGCAATAATTCCTAACTCCAAATAAACACAAAAAACAGAATATTAATTTGTTTAATTTTCCAATATTATTTTTAACAAATTAAATTAATTATTTACAACTAAAATGCTATTGGATAGTTAGGACAAACATACAAAATCTGAAGTAGTTGCTCGAAATGTAAACCCAATTGTTCAATACACAATTCACATCTACGAATGATCGAACGTGGTATAGCATTATTCAAATAAGGCCTTATTTCATCACATGCATTCCTGATTATGTCTATCATATCTCTTGTGGTTACGGGAGTCTGGTACACTTTTTCTTTTAGAAATCCCCACACAAAGAAATCTAATGGATTTAGGTCAGGGGATCGTGGAGGCCAGGCGACTGGTCCTCCACGGCCGATCCATCTTTCTCGATAACTTTCGTCCAGCCAGTTTATAACTATTCTCGAATAATGAGCTGGACAACCATCAAGCTGGAACCAGGCCAATCTT